ACCTGACCAGGGTCTAACAGATCCTCAGACACCTGACCAGGGTCTAACAGATCCTCAGACACCTGACCAGGGTCTAACAGATCCTCAGAGACCTGACCAGGGTCTAATAGATCCTCAGACACCTGACCGGGGTCGTCTCCTCAGGCTGGTCGCTCCAAAGTCGAGGCGTCCTGATGGAGAAGCTTGGTCAGCCTTCGGTTGAAGCCTCGACTTTGGAGCGACCAGAAGGATCCACCAGAGGATCTACCAGCAGCTCATCAGGGGTGGACAGGTGCAGACCCTGGAGAGCTTTACAGGTGACCAGTAACATCTAAACATCATGTCTAGAGCGGAGCCGGTGGAGGGAAGCTGAGATGTTAAAACCAGATAGAAGAGAAGGACTGATCAGGGTTTAACAACAAGTACAGAAGGTCTTGCCTCTGTACGATGTACTGCAGCGTGACGATGGTGTAACGGTGGAGATGGAACACCACCTCCAGTCTGGGCCGCCTCTGAAACAACAAACACCAGTTTCGTCATCAACCAGGTAATTCTCAGACTGTTTTTAAAAACAACACAGAACATTAGTTAATGTATTTTAATGTATGTGTGCCAGAAAACCAGCAGGGATGAAACAAACCACGAGGATGTGTTGTTACGTCACATCTCCTGCTGCACATAACAACAGTAACTCCATGGACTGATGTGATGGAGGAGAGCAGCACAGACCAGCTACACGTGATTCACTCCTCTTTCATCAACTATTTAGACTTTTTAAAATGATTTCAGCAAAACTTTCAAACAAACACACCGAACATGAAGCAGCTTCAGCTTCTAGATGTAAAGAGTTTTGAACTCTGGACAGGAAGAACTGGAGCAAAGATTCAATACTTAACTTGTAGACATGAAACATGAGACTGTTAATATCTTCTAACCTGAACTCAATCCATGAAGACTTCTGAGGATCTGCTTCACTTATTTATGCACATAAAGGTCAAACTGGTTTTAATGAGAATCCACATTTACAGATTTTCTTTCTTTGTAATCTAATCTAATGTGAAGCTGCTGTCGAGGGTCAGTGTGACGCGTTTATTTATTTCTCTTCACTGTAAAGCATTTAAAGTCCTGTTTCAGGAAGTAGAGCTACAACGTCGACATCCGTCTCCAGTCTATCAAGTGGTTTCATCTAAATGAGGAGAACGTCCTTCAGGTCTGACCTCCTCGTGGACAGAACTCCTGAACGCTGCAACAGGAGCTGAACTCATGGTTCTGGATTCATGAGCAGCAGGTTCTTCTCATTTCTCTGCCTCCATCTCGGGCAGGAAGGACCGAGAAGTTCAGAAACAGGAAGCTGTCTGACATCCAACACACCTGATCTGTGCTGAGCTCCTGCCACAGCAGCGTGGGGCTGAGGACGCCCTGAGACAGCAGCTCTCTGCCGGACTGCAGCAGGACACCCAGCTGGACCTGCACGGGACACAGCAGGAGTTCAGTTTCACACGAGGTCAGTGAACGCATCCTGCAGGAACGCTTTCACCTGCAAACCCATGTTACAGCTCTTGACTGACTCTTGAGGCTGACTCTGCAAAACTTTACCTGGATTATAACTGATACAGACACTGACAGGATGAGACACTTCTGTCATGTGTCAGCTCCTCCATCATCAGATCATTGATCTACTGTCCGATATGACAGATTCTGTATCAGTGACATGATGAGAAACTTTCAGGTTTTTGTCTTCAATAGTTCCTCAGATGTTGTTCAAACAGACTCAAGTTTTAATGTGAGAGAAACAAGCTGCTGAAAGACGGTCGACGGTGATTTTTAAAAGACTTTCATGTCAGAAAGTGTTTGCTATATGAAGATGAAATGTAATAAAACATCTTTAGAAATATCTCTACTTTATGCTATGAATATTTCAGGAGATGTTTGATCAGAAACTGTCCTGAAAGTTTGATGATCTGAGAAGGAACGAGTTGTACACCGGTGCAGTTACAGTCAGTGACCTGCAGTAAAGCTCAGGTGGGGTTTGACACCAGAACTGGAGATTGTAGATGAAGATGAAGAACCTGTGCAGGTGCAGATCTGAAGAACTAAAGCATCATTTTGCTTCTGACTGAACCTTCACACTGGAGTTTGAGTCCAGTGAGATCCTCCTTCAGCCCGACACTCACCCTCTGAGAGTCAGTGAGCATCTCCCTCCTCTCGTCCTCCGTCCTCTCCTCTGTGATCTCCTGCAGCCTCTCCAGCACCATCTTCACCGACAGGACCGTCGCCGAGACTCCGAGCCGCTCAGCCTGACGCCTCAGTTCGGCCGCTGTCCACAGACGACAGCGTTTACTTCACCTCCACGTTTACACAAGCATCATTTGTGGTGTTTGAAATGTTGGTGTTTGTGTACAAGACAAATAATGGACACAAAGGAAGGAGAGAATTACAGACATCTGTGTTTATGAATCTACTAAGAACATCTTCTTATTCTCATCCAATAATTCTCCCAGTTTCTCCTGTGACTAAAAACGAGACGGATTCACCCGTCAGCTGCTCATGAGACTCACTGATCAGAATAATCAATACGTCTGAACACAGCTGCCTGCTCTGCTCCACCTGGGAGGACGCTTCCTTAACAAGATGTCAGATTAGACTCAGAAGACGCTCACCCAGCAGCGACCCGGTGAGGCCAGACACGACGCCGTCCGGCTGGTTCTGGTCAGGACGGAAAACGTTGCACGGATCTGGATTCTAGAAGAAGTTCACAACGTTACGAACACATTAGTGAAGCGGCGCTGAAACTGCTTTTATATAAAAATCCTTAAAGTGTTTCACAAATGCAGAAACACGACAGAGTGACCAACAGCCTCCACAATCCTCCCATAAAGTCCAACTTCATTAACGATTGTTTAAGCCCCAGCTTCGTTTTACTCCTCTTTCCTGGACGTTCCGACTTCATAACGGCATTTTCTTGCCCTCACTCACCCCGACCTCCCTGAACAGGCTGCAGAGGTTCTGCTGCTGCTCCAGCAGCTGGATGGCCGCCTCCTGCAGCTGCTGGACATCCGCCTGCTTCGGCCTCTTCAGCACGCGACCAGCTGGGAGCACACAAACACATCACATCATACAGGATGCCGTTCTGCTTCAGTCACACCAAACTGGAGCTGCCACAGTTAATCGGTTAGTTGTCAACAATGAGTTCCTCCAGGAAAGAAAGAAAGTCTAGATTCTGTGACTGCAGCTTCTTAAACGTGAAGGTTTTCTGGTTTCCTTCCTCCTCTGAGACGGGAAACTCAAGATGTTTGGACAAAACAAGACAAGCTTGGGAAACAATGAACAACCTTTCTATGAACCAAACAACTCATCAATTAGTCAAGAAAATAAAATGAAATGAAAATGATGTGTGGTTGTAGCCCTTCACCAAACAGCTCAGATGTTTCCTACTAAAGTTAGAACAACAACTGAGTTTGTTTTCCACGGCTGTGAGGGACAAACTGGGGCTTTAAAGTGAACCGATCAGGTACTGATCAGCCACAACATGAAAACCAGCTGCCTGCTACTGTGCAGCTTCTCCACAGGTTCTGAAGGTGTCCTCCAGTATCAAGCAGCAGAACCTGAAGTCCTGGAAGCTGCAACGTGGAGCCTCTGTGGTTTAGACTCAACTTTATACAAGTCGACACCTTGAACTCTTTGTCATGTTCCTCAACTCATTCCTGATCAGTGATCCTGCTGAAGGAGGCCATCAGGAGCACTGCTGCTCTGAGGGGTGGAGGTGATCTGCAGCCATGTTCAGGAGTCAAAGTGACGTCCACGTGACCACAGAGTTCACTGTTCCCCAGCAGAACACTGTCCAGAGCTTCAGACTGTCTCCACATCTTCACATCCTGCCGCCATCTCTGGTCCACATACCAGAGAAGACCATCTTCAGACCAGGACGTCTTCTCCCACTGCTCTCACGTCCATCGTAGAGGTTTCAGTGGAGGACAGGAGTTACTCAGCAGACTAGGATTCACCGACCAGCCGTCCATGACCCCGTCTATGGATCACCAGTTGTCCCTCTTCGGACCACTCTTGGGAAAGCCCAGAAAAGCCCAACCAGCTGGAGATGCTCTGACCCAGTCCTCTGCAGTCCTCTCTCAGATACCTCCACCTACTGACCGGAACCAGATAATGGAGGTGGTTCACTTCACCTGTCAGTGGCTTTAACACTGTGGCAGACTGCTGCACTACCAGCAGGTTACCTTCATGGAGAAGCTGGCACCAAAGCCCACTTAAAAATCAGTCGGTTTAAGGTGACCATGCTAACAGTGAGCAGCGTTACAAATCTCAGTCAGTATACCAGACAGAATTATGATTTAGGCTGCACTCTGAACGTATATTTAACCTCTGGCTGTACTCACATGCTGCTGACTCGTTAACTTGCTGAAAACTCACCGAGGAGACTCGACAGAGTCCTTTTCTGAGACACCGACGCACAAGACGCGCTGAGCGACATTTCACTCCGACTGGACGTTTACAAAAGGCACCGACAGGAAATCGGCTTTAATAAACTATTACATTTACGACGTTTTAGAGAACAAACAGGTAAATAAACGATCTTCATCCTCTGTTCTGCTTCAGCAGCAGCTCTGTTTTGGTTCCGCCATATTTGCTTCCTCCCGCTCATCGCTCCCATTGGTCCAAACGGCAGCCAATCAGAGAGCAGCTGTTACGGAAGCGGAACAAACAGAAACTTTTCCGGAGTTTTAACGTTTGTCTGATAAACTTTTCATTTTTCTTTGTTTTGTAAACGTTTGCTTTAAAAAAACTCATTTTAGACTCATGTCTTATATCATTTTTATTAGAATTTCTTTATGATTTTATGTTGTTAGTATTCTTATTTCTCAGTTAGATTTGATATATTTTTTCCATGATTTTATTTATTTTTTATTTACTTGTGTCACATTAGCTTCTTTTATTATTTCTCGTATTTTACTTTTTGTGATTGAAAAAGTTAAATAAATACATTAAAAGTATATTTAATTGTTTTTTGTTTTTATATCAATAAATAATTCAATAGATTATGTCTTACAAAATATTTTTCTTATCTGTATCATTCACTTTATTATTTTTTCTCTTGTGCCAAATTAGCTCTATTTTCTTTTATTATTTTTACCTTAAAAAGTTAAATAAAAACATCAAAAAGTGAAATCTTTTATTATTGTATTATTGAATGAATTCTCCTAAACCCTGTTTAACCAGATGTTTCCTTTCTCATCTGTTGTTTTCTGTATTATTTGCTTGTTTCATTTACATTTTACACGTCAACTTTTTTTTCATTTCTGGTGCTTGTACCTTGCATTCCTGTGCCTGTAAAGGACTCGGTGCCACGTGTGCACTTAGACAGAGTTGATCTGGTTGAACTCAGTCAGCGCATTAATGAAACCTCCTCAGGCTAGAAGAAGGAGCTCCGGCGCTGTGCCGCTCCCCGCCTGCTGCTGTCAGTCTCTCCCTCAGGACTTAAACTTCTGCAGCGGTTTCGTTGTTCCTTTTATTTTGTTCATGACTCAACAAGTCGGCGGTTCGTGTGACTCACTGAGCAGGAAACCGGTTTTGTAACGCCGGCTGACCTTTTCCTCTGTAACCTACTTCAGAAACACCAGAACATGAGCGTCATCCTGCTGCACCCTGTTTGTTGGGTTCCTCTTGTTCTGCTCTGCTGCTGTTTCGTGGTTCTTTGTGTTCTCGGTGTCGGCAGGGCGTCGCTCCGTCAACACAGAAAGCTGCCGACTGAACAGAGGAGCTGGAGGCCGGCTTGGCTCCTGGAATAGTTTGATTTGTGGCTGTTAATCTCTCTGCAGCCTCTGATTACAGGCTTAAAGGCAGAGAGCAGGCGTGGAGGCCTTTAGACAGACGTTCCTTCACAGCCAGCAGAGAACGTTCCCACAACGCTGGACAACAACATCTACAAGTTACAATAGCTTCATAAGCAAAACGTCTCAGTCAGATGTTAACAGAAGACGTAACGTTCCTACAAAGGTCACACAGAGTTTTACTGTCAGCATTCAGAGAACGTTATCAGGAACACTGATTATCTACAAACGTTCTCAAACAAACGTCAGAGAAATGTTTCCAGGAGTTGTCGAGGCCTCAGAGACTCGTAGAGGTCAAAGCTCAGGGAGTCGTGGAGCGACTTTCCTTTAACAGCTGAGACGTGTGTGTTGATAAAAACATTCAAAAAACATTCAGGAGATCGTTGAGCTGCTATGTGATGATCAGGTTTGACTTTTCATTTGTTTGTTTCTTTATTTCTCCAGAATACAGAAAATAAAAAACTTCACAGTCAGAAAGCTCAAATTTGTAAAAAAAATTAAAAAGCAATGAGTCGAGTGAATTTTTGTAAAAAAGTTTATTTTTCTATTTCTGTGTATATTTATTTATTTTGACATTCACAGACTTTTTACCTGATAATTAAGGCTTTAGTTCTACATTTATTTATTTATTATTTTCATTTAGTTGTTTGTATATTTATTTATTATTTTTATTTGTGTGTTTATTTATTATTTTTATTTATTTGTTTTTCTATTTATTTGTTATTTTTATTTGTGTTTTTATTTATTTGTCTGTTTATTTATTTTGTGTTTATTTATTTGTCCTTTTCACAATCCAGTGAGAGTTTTGGTCTTAATTACTTGACAGACAGAAGAAACTGTGAAGCTGTTTAATAAAATAACGAGACAAACATCATCACCTGAGCTAAACGGATCCTAAATGACACAACTGAAATAAAGTCAGACTGAATCAAATCCAATCCAGACATCCAGGTGTGAGCAGGTGTGAGTTCAGAGCAGCTGATTGGACTCAGTCAGACGTCGTGTTGGTTTCATTCATCAGTTGAAACAAGTTCAGATTAAAATGTGATTAAGAGCAAAATAGAACAGCTCGTTAGGAGCGAGCGGTGATGTTTGTGTTGGTGCGGCTGAAGGGCTTCCCTCAGACAGATCCACGTGGTTCCTCAGCTCCAGCAGCAGATGTTGGGTCTAAATATAAACCAGCAGCAGCTCCTCTTTCTGGACTTTCCTTCTTGTTCCTGCAGCAGGAACCGGGTCTGCTGGGAGCCGCTGGAGGAGCTCATGAAAAGTTAACGTGTCTCATGAATGTTTAACAGCACGCTGCTATTGTGGAGCCTAACGGGA